ACCACTAACTATTTTTACTATTAGGAGCTTTTCCCTTTGATACTCCAAGCACATCTTTTGCAATATTCTTAATATCACTAGCCACTTTTTCCCACATAATATTAGCATCCTCATGCACAGACAGAATCTTACGATCTAAAATCTTATCTCCAAAAATATTTTTTGTTAATATTCTTTAAATGCCCCCATTTAATTCTAGAAAATTGTTTTACTTTATTTTTTATTTTATGCCCCTTTATCTTAAAGTCCAAAACTAATAATCGATGTTGGGTACATAAATTTTCACTCGGAATAACTTTACAATCTTTGCAATCTAAACGATTTAATTTTCTAATAAGAAAATAGTCAATCTTGGTTGTACTATATCCATTTTTATAAGTGATGAGATGCTCATTCCTTTTCTTAAATAAGGTATTAACAATTGAAAAATCATAAGCTAAACAAAAATCTAAAATGGTCTTGCCACCTTCATTCATCGTTCCAAATCCATGGCCACCATGAATGCTTTTAAAATCATCTTCCTCTCTACCAACATGTTCATTTAAATATACTCCAATAAAACTCTTTCTTCAAGAGGTATCTTTTGTATTAATTCTTCTAAGTCATTCCAAAAATTTAATTTAGAACTCATATCTAAACCTACTTGAGGAGCATAAGCACTTATAATATTAACAATCTTATCATCAACAATAATCTTTAAAGCTATAATTCTATCTCCAATCCTATTAATTTTTATAACATTATCCTTTAAACTCTTATCTATAATAACACCTACACTATTTCTAGTACGACTCCTACCCGAATACCAAAGTTTAAATCCTAAACTATCAATTTCCTTGGCCTTCTCTCCAACCCACTTAGTTTCCTGAATGCACAAAATATTTAACTTCCTATGAATCATAATATCTATTAATTCCATTAATTTTCCTGTAAGGGAATCTATATTCTAAGTTCCTATCCTAATTTAGTTTCATGGACTAGCTTCTTTGCCCACATTCGTCCTTGATGTGGGAACCCTTGCCTATTTAACACTGCACTCGGGCACCGGTGCAGCGGCCCTTGCACACTTGTCACTGTTTTAAGCCATACAGCACGTCGCTTCCAGGGGATGCCCTAGCATTAACACAATTTCTTAAAGGATTAATGTCATTATTGTTCGACAAATTTTACGCTGGCAGTCGACTACCTAACGAAACCCTCAGAAATAGCAAGATACAATTATTCTTTGTATGCGAACAAGTAAAATACATGAGAAAACAAGAGGGTAGACTAAAATAACATGGTAAATATATTTTCACAAAAGAAAGTTTTCGTAGCACTTAATATGAATGAATGAAGATTGAGGATTCATATAACTGACCAAAAAATAGTAGCGAAAAAGGCAATGTGTTAGACCGGTCCAATTGGTCCACACGGGACCAGTCCGCGAAAATAGAGGCTAAAGTTTTTCCGCCTCTCTGCTGTCGATAGAACTGCGGGATCCCATAGAGCAGATTAGGAAGGATTATTGAGGGATTTGGAGGGAAATTTGAATATAGGGAATATTTAGGGATTTCCTTTTGTTTTGTATGCATTAAATAATTTGGTTTCCTTGGGTTAGGGCATCTTGAATTTGACTGAAATTTGAGATATCTTAGATTTAGGTTTTCTTTTGGGCTCTAGCGGCGTCTAGAGATTTGGGAGAGATCGATCCTCCTCTTGAATAGTGGATCAATTGTATCTTGCTATTTTCCATTTCCCTTCCATCAAATAATACAAATTATCTACTGTTTTCGTGTTTTTTTTACAATTTTTTTTGTAGAAGCTCGTTGTTTTCCGAAGATTGATAGGAAATACTTGAGATATACAAGTACTTCATATCAAATTGGTTTCAGAGCACGTCGATCGAAGGGGAACCAATGGCCGGTAGGAAAGTGAAATTTTTAGAGGGAGAACTTGGGCAACTCAAAAGCAGATTTTGAAGAAAAGATTGCTAATTTTCAAAGTCAGATTGCATCCGTCAATGAAAAGATGGAAGAAAAGTTCGTCATGGTGGAAGACATGTTGAAGAAATTGCTTCTAAACTGGGGACATCGGAAGAAAAGGAAACTATCGGCAGCCATGGAAGAGATGGGAACCCTAACATGTCTAGGGGAAGGGAAAAGCCAGAAGTGGCGATCCTGGAGGGAGAAGACGGAATGCTTCCTCTAGAACCACTTTCTAGGGAGGAGATGAGCATTGGCTACACAAGAAGGGGTGCTAAATTTGTAAGGAGAGGTTTCGATCGCTGGGGTGCTGATTTTAAAAGAAGAAGAGGAGATTTTGATGAATAGTTTGGGTATGATCGCCGAAGGGAAGATTGTGACAATTGGGGAGCACCTCTGCTTTGATGAATGGGAGGTTATGGAGGATTTAAGGGAAACGGGTGTGACCCGAGGGCGAGGAAACTAAAGATGCCAATCTTTGAGGGGGAGGATGCGCAGGGGTGGATCTACAAGGTAGAAAGATATTTCTCCGTCAATGGGCTGATAGAGAAGGAGAGACTGATGGCGGCAGGCCTATGTTTAGAAGGGAAGGCTTTGTCTTGGTATCAGTGGAGGGACATGCGATGACCCATACGGAATTGGAGAGAGTTCAAGGATTGTTTGGTAGAACATTTCCAAATTGGCAGGGGAGGAGACTTCTACGAGCAGTTATTTGCCTTGACACATGAGGGTTTAGTGATAGAGTACCGGGAGATATTCAAGTATCTTGCTAGCCGATTGGACCGCCTTTCTGTAACAATGCTTGAGGGAAACTTCATGTAGGGATTGACACCAGAGATCCGAGTAACGATTAGAGTAATGAGGCCTCGTGACTTGGGAGAGGCTATGGAGCTAGCTCAATTGGTAGAAGGTCAGAGGCACCTGGAGGGAGAGACGGGAGACAACAGCTTAGGAGGCTCATACAGGATGACCACAACCTTATTGAAATCCAAGGAGCCAATACCGGATACTCTTCGGGGGACTTCGAAGGAAAAGACTGCAAGAAGAAGACCTAGGGACAACTTCAAGAAGCTCACAGAGATAGAATTACAAGAGAAGAGGGCGAAGGGGCTCTGTTTCAGATGTGACGAGAGGTATACGTTGAGGCATATGTATAAGTACCGAACTCTTTAGGTTTTTACCATTTGTGATGAAGAAGGAATGGAGGGTGTCATCTTTCCACCTTACGGACAAGGTGGATCTTTGGGAGGGGAGTATTGTTAGACCGGTCCATTGGACCGGTCCAGTCGATCCACATGGACCGGTCCGCAGAAACAGAGGCGGAAGTTTTTCAGCCTCTTTGTGCTGTCGATAGAACTGTGAGATCCCATAGAGCAGATTAGGAAGGATTTTGGAGGGAAATTTGAATGTAGGGATTGTTTTGGGATTTCCTTTTGATTTGCATGCATTAAATACTTTGTTTTCCTAGGTTTAGGGCATCATGAATTTGGCTGAAATTTGAGATTTCTTAGAATTAGGTTTTCTTTTGGGCTCTAGTGGCGTCTAGAGATTTGGGAGAGATCGATCCTCCTCTCGAATAGAGGATTACCTTGCTATTTTCCATTTCCTTTTCATGAAATAATGCAAATTATCTACTGTTTTCGTGTTTTTTTTTGCGGATTTTTGTGTAGAAGCTCGCTGTTTTCTGAAGATTGTTAGGAAATACTTGAGATGACAATGATGATGCGATTGTATGTTGAAGGATATATAATCCTGATCTCAAATAGTTGGGACAAGCCAATGACTAGCATAGTGGCAAATTCATGCCATTTGATTAGATAGGTGAAGCTAGACTTTAAAATTCATTGATGCCCGACTGTTTTTTTAAGTTGAAAGATCAATTCTGAAAATTTTTAACAGTTAATGATGCCATGACGGTTAATAAACTTGAAGCTGAAGTCTAAAACAGCTACATACCTATTTCTGTGCCACCATAAAGGAATTTTCTTTTTAAATGCTTTAGCAAGTTGATATAAGCACTTGATTTATAGTTTCGTGCTTCATGCATTGTTGGTTCAATATACGCAGTTATTTATATCTCATTAGTTACTTCGATGAATATTTATTTATTTATTTTTTTCAGTAATGCTCTACATATCCTTATAGGTGGCTGTCTGCGACTTTAGTGGACTTTTATGTTAATGTTGTTGCTATTGCGGTAAGTCTGGAAACTCAAATTTTTTTCCTCGTCTTCCTCAAATTCTTCCCTTTACGCTCGAATATATTACTTGCCACACAGCATTTTTATATGCTTTTAGTACATTAACAAAAAGAAAAAGACATAACAAGTTTCATGTTATTTAAGCCATAGAAGAGGCTGACTCGTTTGGAAAATGGTCACTTTTATTTCTTACTTTAATAACGTTTTATTGTCATGGTGACCATCATCAAGTGTCCTCATATGCCATTATTGCAAGTAAGCTAAATCCCTTTGGACGACTTCTAAACATTGTTGCTTTTAATTATCTGTTAAATTCCCCTCTTTTCAAGTAAAAAGAAAACATAAAAACATAGTTGCATTTTTGTGTAGATAGGGTATCCTGCATAGCAGCTGTAGGTCTGTAGATATGGGTATTTTGTTTTGCAAGTTGGGGCCATGCTACATTGGAACCATCATTTTCTTGCATTAAACGGGCTATACTCCCTGCACCTCATTGTCCGCTTTGGCAGAGTTGTGGTTTTTAGGTGCATAAGATCTTGTAGGTAAAGTATTGTTTGGATAATATGTTACAGAACACTGTGATATCCTAAGTGTTAGCTATGACATTTCTAGAAATTTGGGATCCCTTTTGTGCTTCTGGTATGTTAATGTGTTAAGCATTTGTTGTCATTATCATTCAAGTTTTATGCATTTTATATTCCATCGTCCTTTTCAATTGTTTAGTGTCAATCTTTCAATGTATTGTTCTAAGACTGCTTGTCTGCACAACCCGGTGACCATGGTTTGACTAGTTTATGCAAATTGGTGGTTAGCCATGGCTTGTGCTAGGGAGCTTTATTCAATGCCAGTTCTTTTTTTTAAAAGCTGATGGATTTGAAAATGGTGCTTTTCTTCTTTCTAATTTGTTCATTTGAGAGGTGAATGCTGACATTACTTTCGAGCCCGATTCAACCTAGATCAAGCCGATTTGAGCCAAATCGGGCTCGATCGCACTCGATCAACTCAATCGATCGTCGTCGAGCTCCAGTTTACTCAAATTGGACCTAAATATTTTCAAATTAAAATCAAATCAATTGAATCGATCCAAATCAGTCCAAATCGAACCCAATTGAGCATTGTCGAATCAAATTTAACGCAAATTGGTGATAGTAAAATATCCCTAAGTCCCTTATAGAAGTTATCAAAATACTTCTAGTCAAATCAATTTTTTTCTAGAGATTTAATATCACTAGAAAATTCTCTTTAAAAGTTGCTAAAATATTTATATTCATATCAAGTTCTCTCAAAAGACATCAAATATGTTTAGAAGTCTCTTTAGAAGTTGTCAAAATGCTTCTAAATTTCTCTTCCAAGAATAACCTAAAACTTTTCCCTTTATGTGATAGAAAGAAATCCCCTTAACTTTGTGGATCTTGCCTAATCCATATTTAGGCATTCATAGATCTCTCTCGCCTTCCAAATCATATCCTATTTGATTTGGAAGAATCTTGTTTGATCATTATTGGTCAATGCTACTATGTGTGACGTAAATCTATTCGTTCACCACACATATTGGGGGTTCTTTTGTTGATGTTATTTTTGAGCCCAATTCAACCCGGTTTGAGCCGATTTGAACCCAATTGGCCTTAATCGCGCTTGATCGGCTCAATCGATCATCGTCGAGTGTCCATTTACTCAAATTGGACCTCAATTTAATCAAATTAAAATCAAATCGATTGAATCGACCCAAATTGGTCCAAATCGAACCCAATTGAGCCTCGTCGAACCATATTCGAACAAATCGGCGCCGATTCGAGCCCAATTTCGCTAAATTGGCTCAAGCACACCCAATCAAACCTAAATCGACCCAAATTGGTTTGGGTCGAGTCCAATTCAGACCCAATTTTAGCCTAATATGTCCAATCTCAGCCTAATTGACCTTTTAGGTCATGCATCCAAGGGCTGTAATTTATCCAGATTTTTAAATATTGCCGCTGCTTTTCCGTCAAATCGTTTGATTTCGGCTGCTGGAGTAGGTTATCTTGCGGCAGAAAATCTAATCAAGGGGACGGCCTCGTTTCCTGCATAGAGAGTGTGAGAGGGCTTCTTGGATTCTTCTTCCTTCGGTTCTGTCTCGACCTAGAGAGAGAGGCATGAGCGAGAGGGGCCAAGTCGAGCAGCTTCCTTAGTGCGTTCAACCTAGTGGAATGAGAGGGAGAAAAGTAAGAGCTTCTCAGCTCTTGTGTGACTTCTTTCATGTGTTTCTAGCCGAAGAAGAGAGGAAGATGAGTACGGTATTCCACCCATGCTTGGATCGAACCAAGTCGAATCCAACGGCTGAAGTCTCGTGCGTGCATTTTGTGGGCTCCGAAAATTCAGCCCAGGCCTCCCCGCCACTTTTCTTTTTATTCTGCAAGGGAGTTTTAACGGAATAAGTTTCGGGATAAATTTTGGAAGGCAGATGAGTTATAAATAAGACACTACCCAGAGATTTCTCCCTCATTTTGCGAGGACTTTATGATCTGAGTTCTGGTTTCCTATAGGTGCAAGCCCCTATAGTTAATTACCCCTCCCGATAACGAGAGATAACTTTCGATTAAGGATAGTCGTCAATCAGATATGTAGATAATACGTGTTATCCGGCATATAGTAGCAGCATGAGTTTGGATTTGAAAATTTGATATTTAAAATAGAAATTGCACCATCTTGCACTTAAAGCGGATGGTGGGGAAATGGATGATGGGCCCAATCAAGATCCCATGGTTCCGTCGTCCCGGGCCATCGTGGTCCCTGGTCTACTTAGTTAGAGGAGGTAGTCGACCCAACCTGATAGAAGGATCATTGTCGGCAACCATGGGTTGCTTCGTCCAAGGGGACAAATTTGAATCCACCTTAGCTTGCAGAGAGCTTTGTGCCCTATCAATCATATCCTATGATTCATATCTCAAGGATTTGATGCCAATAAGGAACGTAACGGCGCTGGCCATAACCGGTATTTCGTGGTGCCATTTGGCGGCAAAACCACTCGATTCAGAGGGCCCCGGGTTATAACCGTTTATCCTGCGGTGCCATTTGGCGGCAAAACTGCCGGTTAGAGGACACGTACCACGTCCTTACTAGCAGGAGATTGTTTGAGAATTGTTCATAGTGATATTTTTGACTAGACATTTGGCTCTTTGTGAGAGTAAGTAGATTTTGATTTGTCCACCCCGGCAAACTGTTGCGGAGGGTGGATGGATTTTGCTTTAAGTATTTTGATGGATTTATTTCAATTTTAAATATTTGGACTTTAGGATTATGGATGATCTTTAGAATTTTTGGATTTTGAGTGGACTTTTGGGTGGCATTTGAAAATGCTTGAAATTAATCCCTCTGGTTGAGATCATCGTTCAACACGACCATCATCGGGGTGTTTGGGGTCATTTCTATTTGTTGATTGAACCTTGTCGACTCGGCCGAGCTGTTGACTGAGGATCGGGTTTCTCGTAGGCTTTGTGTCTTTGCTTGTGAATTTTCTTTGTTAAAGGCCTTAAAGGCCTATATGAATGTATAAGATAAATATTCCGGTCGACTTCGTGACCGCATATTTATCCGATGATTTGAACCTTGTCTACTTCTATTTACATGCTTAGGAGGATCGGGTTTTGTAGGCTTCGTGACTTTTGTTTAGTGAATTCTTTTGATTGTAGGCCTTGAAGGTCTAATATGAATGTATTAAAACAAATACACTGATCATCACAACCGTGTATTTGTTTGAAGGTTCGAACCCTGTCGACTCCTATTGATTCAAATAGAAGGATCGAGTTTCGTAGGCTTCATGCTTTTATTAGTGAATTCTTTTGATTATAGGCCTTGAAGGCCTAATATGAATATATTTAAATAAATACACGGGTCACTACAACCATGTATTTTGTTTGAAGGTTCGAACCCTGTCGACTCCTATTGATCCGTATAGAAGGATCATGTTCGAACCTGAATTCACTTATCGACCCGCGTAGCATCTCTAGACGTCACGTGTGTACCAATAACACGCTCGTCAAGGCCCATGCGGGTCGGGATTATATTTTCCTCTTCAGTGTACCTATGTGTATATAATTTATAGTGTACGTGCAGGGGTATTTTAAAATAATTGTAGTTGTGCAAATAACTACCATTTGGATATACACAACTTTTCATTTGAGAGCTTATACACGCCTTCTGTCCGCTAGTGCGAATGTTGCGGATCTGGTGGCGTGCGTTTTAGATTGTAAATGCCTTATGTCTGCTTTCATAAGTGTTGCAGATCCGGTGGCATGCATTATAGATTATAGACGCCTTCTATCTGCTTTCATAAGTGTTGCAGATTCGGTGGCGTCGTTATTTGGATGTCATGAGGTATTTCCTCATCTTGACATTGACTCCCCTTTCTCAATCACCGGGGAAATTCTTCTGGACTTTGAAGTCCGTTGCTTTAAAGAGAACTCCCTTTGAGGTCGTCAGTGTAGTGGACTTGTTATTTCTAGTGTTTGTGGGAACCAGAGCTATTTTCCTCTTAAGTATAGAATTCAGAAGAGACTTTAGAACACTAGGAAGTTTAGATATAATTTGTTCAAACATTTCCTCCTTTTTGTCAGAGGGTGCCCTTTTCGTACATAGAGTCGCCCTTGTACTCAACGCACTTGTAGATCTTGGTCACCGTCGTTGTAAGTAATATATGTACTTGTGTCCACAGTGATTCATTGTACTTTCAATACACTGTTGTTATCCACAAGAATCCATTTGCAGGGGATTGCTGTATTCACTACGACCTTCTGGAAGTGTTTGTAGAAGGGTCATTTACATCAGTATCGTATCCACCTTTCACCAATCTCAGGTGGTTTGATTATATTTGTTTGCAGGGGCAGGTGTTCCATTATCAGCTACAAGCATCATCCCCTTTTTTTATCAACATATATTTTGCTTGCGTATTTAGTTCTTCATTGTTGTATATGGAAGACAATTGCACCCTTTATAGTGGACTAATATCATTTGGACCTGGTTAAATATATGCATTGAAGCTTCGGCTTTCACTTGCTTGCTTGCATGATGTAGAGGTATTATTGCATTTGTCACTGACCTTTGCCAACAATATTAGCATTATCACCTCGCCAAATCATAACTTTCATCTTAGACATTTAAATTAAGCTTCAGGCCATCTGTTTGATGCTCAAACTGTAGTCCAGTTCAACACTTGAGTTTATTTCAAGTTTGAATTCTATGTTCGGGTCTTCTGATGTTGCACAGTTCAAGTTCCAAGTACGATTTCAAGTGCTTTTTCATGGTCTTTCTGAAGTCCTTGCAAGTGCAATTGTATGTTCGTATTGATTTGAGTTTGGTTTCAATTTTATTTTATTTTATTTGGATTTGACCTTTTAAAAGTCATTTAGGTTTTGTTCGTATTCAAGTCCTCAAGTCATCTGTTCTTCATACAAGTCCTTTGTTCATTTAGTTCAAATCTGTGCATTGATGTCCAAGTATTGGTCCTCTGTATTGTTGTTCAAGCGAGGTCTTTGTATTGTTCCGGCTTTATGTACTTCAGTGAAAATCTCGGCAGCACCTCGGCATATCCCCAATTTGGGGGAAATGTAGGGGAGCTGGGCCTTCCCACCATGCTATTCGAGCGTGTATGATAGGTGTCCTTAGACACCGTGGCCGTACAAATTTCATCCCACTACGATACAACAGCGTTTATGGGGCATTCAGTAGTACCCGTACAGAACACCAGTAGCGGCTCTCCCCACCACGCTACAAGAGCGTGTATAGGGCTTACCCACCTCGTCGTATGCTTCGCACCGGGCTTCCTCATACCGTGCTACAAGAGCGCGTATAGGTGGTTCCCCGGTTCGCTACAAACGTCGAGAATGGGATTTTAGAACGTCATACCTTACGTAGCAGTCGTCGGCGGTGTCGGTGTCGAGGTCGAGGATCATCCCCACCATGCTACAAGAGCGTGTATAGGGCTTACCCGCCTCGTCGCACATGTCGCACCGGATTCCCCCCCACCGTGCTACAAGAGCGCGTATAGAGGGTCCACTATCGCGTCGAGCACGTCGAGGGCAGGATTTGAGTTAGAAATTTATACCTTGGCAACTCCGGCGGTGGAGGCTCGTGGACCGAGGTAGGAGGCTCACGGACCAAGGCAAGTAGGGTACGGAAACCGAGGCGGGAGGAGCAGGCATTTCTTTATTATTAATTATAATTAATGTTAATTAATTATAATCATCTCTAATTAATTATATTTTTTAATTATTAATTAAAATTAGTTACAATAATTAATTCTGATTATTTATATTTAATTAACATAATTAATTATGATTTTTGGTTAATCATAACTAATTAATAGTAATTAAATTTAATTAATTATAACTAATTAATAATAAATAATTACAATTTAAATAAAATTATTATAATTAATTATAATTAATTAAAATAATGATAATTAATTAAAATGATTATAATTAAAAAAAACTAATTGTAATTAATGAAAATTAATTTTAATTAAAAAAGAAAATTTATTATTAATCTCTCGGCTCGGCAGGATTGTGGGATTTGGCCGGATTTAGGCTAAATCCAGCCAACGGTTTTGGTACGCGCGTTAAATCTCGGCGATGGTTAAGTCCCGGATTAAGGATTTACGTCTTAATCCTGTATTTACTAAATCCCTTGGTTCAACAGATTTCGGGGATTTGGCCGAAGAAGAACGCGCAAATGGAGAAAGTTACCTTCACTGGCAGCAAGCTCCCATCGTCGTTCCCGAACAAAATGTCGTAACTTTCGGTCTAGTTGGAAGGAATGCCGCCGGAGGAGGGGGGAGAAAGAAGCGCACCCAAGGTAGGAAGTTATCTTCACATACAGCGAGCTCTCGTCCTGGCTTCCGATCCGACAGAAAGGATCGTCGACGAAGGAGCGGGGTCGTACAACGTGCAACAGGGAGAAAGTTTCCTTTACAGCAGCGAGCTCCCTGTTGTTTCTTTTGATTTAGATGTCGTAACTTCCAATCCACGGGAAGGAAAGTCGTCGAAGGCAGCGAAGTTGAACAGCACCAGAGGAGGCGAAGAAGCGAAAGGGAGAAAGCTATCGTCACAGCGAGCTAGCTCCGGTCGTGGCCTTTGATCAAAGTATGTAGCTTCCGATCCAACCTGGAAGAGAACGTCGTCGCTGGGGCAAGGTCGAGCAAGAGAGCCCAAATGCCTTGCTTCCCTCTTCTTTTAAAGATGCCAAGTCGTGCGAAGGTGTGGGGAGAAATGACGGGTCGCTAGATTTACGGGATTTGAACGGCGACGACGTGCGATTCGGTATGATTAGATTTCTTTTCATATTTTTTTTAAGTACAGGTCAACAAATGCCCCCCCCCCAAACAAATGTGGTACGCGTCTAGAACGAACCACGTTTGTTGTATGCTAATTGACCCTGTGGATCTCGAAATATTTGTTCTAGATGTCACACTACAAAATGAGGGCGAAATCTCTGGGTAGTGTCTTATCTACAAACCCATCTGCCTTCCAAAATTTACCTCGGAACTTATTCAGTTAAAACTCCCTCGCCGAAACAAAAGAGCGAGCGGAGGCCGGGGACGAATTTTTGGAGCCCACATCGGGAAGAACATCATTTAAATAGGACTCAATAAGGATCAATCGTACTTCTAAGAAGGCACTTGCATGGTCTTTTATAGCATGAAAGGGTATGATTATATTAAATTGGAGCAAAATGATAGGTTATCATGCCAAAAATCAGGGCAAAGTTGGACGGGCATATGATATTACAAATTATTACTCTAGAAATTGTTGTACATTTTGAGAAAGCATGTAGTTCCTTATGTGCAGCAAAAATGAAGGCCAAATACTGTATCTCAAGCGGTGGATAATGCACTTCAATGAGAATTAAACGTCGCCATAGATAATATAACCCATTGTCTTTTTCTTCCTTATTTGTTTGAGCTAATAAGGGTCTAAGAGATTCATCCAAAGCCACCGCTTAGAGAATTAGTGGCTTTCTTGAATAGGGGCAGTCATAGTTGGAGGTGAGGTCAAATACTGCTTTATGTTATCTAAAGTATTTTGACACTTATATTCTTAATAGAATTGTTCATCCTCGTTAGATAAAGTTACAAATGGGTGACACCTGTTTGGCAAATTTAAAATGAACTGTCTTAGATATGCCGACCAACCTCGAAACATCTCAATTATGTAAAACTTTTAGGAGGTTTTTTTTAGACAATTTTAATCTTGGTGAGATCAATTTCGATTCAATGGCCTTCACTATGAAACCTAGAAACTTAATTGAAGTCACTCTAAAGGCATACTTCAGAGGGTTTATTTTCATATCATAGTGATGCAATCATTAAAAACTTGTTCTCCAATCATAGAAATGGTATTCCATTTCTTTTTCTCTTGACAAGCAAATGATTGACATAACATTCGCTTTAATTATGAATAAATTTGTCAAATATTGGGGGTCCTAGCCCACTGATAAGTTGCATCAATGTTCTTAAGACCAAAATGTATGACCTTATAACGAAAAATCCGGAGAGGGTTTTGAACGCAATAAAATTTTCATCTTTAGGGGCAATCTTAATTTAGTTGTAACCAAATGAACCATCTATGACACAAAAAATCACATGCGAAGAAGCTATGCTATCATAAATTCTGGCATAGGCAATGAGAATTCATCTTTGGGATAGGCTCTATTCAGATCCCTAAAGTGGACACAAATGAATTTCATCATTCCCTTTTTTTAATTGGTATGATGCTTGCCAACCAAAAAAGATGTTTCTCTTCCCAAAGAAAGCTAGCTTCAATATGTTTCTTAATTTCCATTAGACCTTGTTTAATTTCAAGCAATTTTAACAGAGGTTAATGTGGTTGACAACTATTATTATTTAATTTTACTATACAAAATGTTTTAGAATTAACGCTATTAATCCATATTTAATAACGATCAGAAACTGCTCTGTTCTGGTGATTGAATTATTGTGAAGGGCTACGAAGGAGGAATAAACTAATTAACATCATGAACAACCTTTTTGAAGATATGCCCTAGTTAATGATTAAGGAAGGTGATTAATTAGGCTGATCTCTAGTTACTGGATAAGGCTAATAATAGGGATGACATTAGAGGTGTTAGAATGATAATTATTTGCTTAACTATGGCCTATGCAAACCAGCATGAGAGTTTATGCAACAGATTTTAATTTTTGTGATTCTGCTATTTCCAACATTGTCATAAAATATATGCAGAATCTTATATAAGCATATTATTCAGTTTCTTCTATTTGAATCAGCTTTTCTTAAATGTTTCAGGTTTGGGTTGCCTACAAGGAATCAAGTTGGTTAAGTACATGTTTTTGGGTAATTCTTTTAGTATGTTTTGGCAGGTATTCTTCTCTTCTATTTGCTTCTTACTTCAGTTTAGAAGGTGGTTAGACCCTTGTCAGAAAACATTACATCTACGTAAACTTCCACTAGTTTCTGGTCGTAATCATATAGTCCATAACACTAAGTAACATGAATTGTAGACTTTTTGCTATTAATTCCAATAACTTCAACCATTAAGATGAACTCTCCGTTTCCATTTATTTCAGTTTGTGATTTTGATTGATGTTAGTGTTTTTTCTGCCTGGATTTTGCTTATTTTTTGGAATATAATTTTACACTATTTGAATTTTGTCAGCTTGATTGCAAACTAATATTAAATACGTTGGGTTTAGATAAATTTGAAATCTTTTGGCCTTTTGTTATATTTTCATATTTGAAAGTTCGGCTTCAACAACTTACTAGTACTGGCATTATCTTTTCTCGTCTTCTTAAATGGAATTAACTTCTTCAGATACTTTACTGTTATTGCATGCATGCATTATGGTTTTCTTCTTGTCTTCATTGTTAAAGACATCTATTAAAATTTAAAACTTAACATTGATTACGGGCTTCTGTTGTTGATTTTCCTACTTTATATTTTTCTAATGCTTGCATTTTCCCTCCTTTTCAGCATTAGCACATGCGCTTATATAGTGAAGCAACTTTTCAGTATATCGGGTCAAGATTCTTCACAAGATCCTCTACAACTAGTGCTATTGAGGTATAGTGCAATTGTGTCATCTTATTGGATTTGGCTAACTACGACTAAACAGTTGCAAGCTAATGAAGCTTTGAACTGAACTGCTTATCCTTGACTTACATCTTTGTTGTGAAGATGATTATTTTATGTCGAACGCAACTAGGTTAATAAGCGTTATAGTGGGCTGATTTGAACTTATGTTTCTATTTCCCTACTATGACTTGAAATTTCATGGATTTGAGTCATGAATAACCTTTGAATTTGAATTGGAACATCATAGTTTTGAATTATTATAAACAACCATCGTGCTAGGCTAGAAGAAAATACTATGTGCATGGCAAAATTATTACGTGCGGAGTCTAGATGTAGCTTGCGTTCAGACTCCAATGAAATCAAGCCACATGACTTATACGCTGGATGTGTCTGGACTCCGCACTTAATAATTTCTCAAGTTCATGGACCCCCTAGTGTTGGGAGCTTTCGAATTGGGTATTCCTTTTATGGTGAATTGTAAGCAACCTTGAAAAACATGGAAGATTTTGATAGAAAGTGGAAACTGTAATTGACAATATTAACATGTCTTAAATTGATAAATTACCATCCTTAAAAATGTGATATAAAGGCTGAATACTGAGAAATTCTATAAAGATTTATTCTTTTACCTTTCTAATTTTTTTATCATCAACTGAGTAGTTGGATTATTAAGCATGCACATGAGCATTACTTGCAATGGAAAACTATTTGCTCTTTAAAATACAGATTTTTAACAGCAAATTCATATGAACTACCTCTTAAAATGAAATGCTTACTTATTTCCCCCCCATTTAAGAAAAAATGACATGCCTGAGTATTTTTTTGATATACCAACCCCACATAGTGGGATAAAGGCTTTATGATGATGTTGCTTTTGTTGTGTTGTCATGTTTCCTATTGACACAAATAAATGATACAAATAATGCTTCTAATCAGATTATCTTGGATATGGTTGGAGAAGTTTCATTTCTCATTGTGCTAACATGGATTCCTATTTATCATATGATTTGGAGGGGCTGCTATTCAAGTTTGTTTGCAGATAGGATATTCTTTTTCAGTTTTTAATTTTTTAGTTGATGGATTTCTCATTAGTTATAATTCCACAACATGATCTCTAGGAGTACCTTAAACAAGGCAATTGCCTCAAGACAAAGTTTGGTTAGGCAATTGGCTCCATGAGTGAAAAAAGGTAACAAGTACATTTCAACATTACAATCCAGTTGAAGTTCCTGCAAGCAAAGCACACAAGGCCCCTTTAATGCACTTATTTTACTATATTGCATGATTATGCAAATCAAAATGTAATCAAATGAGTTTTTCTCGTGCTAGGTGTCGTGGAGTAAACCACAGTTGGACTGAAGTTGGTCCAAGGACATTAAGAATTATATCTATATTGAGCTCATGTATGTATGAGGTTATTAGGATTCATCCAGAGTCTTGTTTGTTGATCTAATGGTTAACAATCATCTAGTTGTCAATCATCCAGAACTCAATCTACACTTCAATCCAATATTCAATCAAACTTCAATCCAGTCTTCAATCAAACTTCCATTAACTTCAATCATCCAATCTACATCAAACTATAATCACTTGAAGTTGCAGCCCTGCGTTGTAGTCAGGTGACTCAGTACATTGCCCAGCTCAGTGCACTGACACCTAGTGATCATCATTTAATTTTCTTTATCCAATCATCAACAATCACTTAATTGATTTTCATTGATATGGATAATTTAAATTCAATTAATTAAATTCAAAACTGCATTCAAATCCAAAATTCTTGACTAAAGCTTATGGTGAAAGGCCCATGTCCTCTAACCTTTATTGGGTAATTTTTTAATCACCTTAAAACCCAGTCAAATGACCCATGATTTATGATCTATCAATTGCATATTGATTAGACATGTCCCTTGGGTCAATCCTCCAAATTTGAGGTCAATCTGAGACCTCTAACCCCAGAAACTTGATTGAAATCCAAAGGCTACAAAATCTTTAGATATTTACAACCTATGTTACTCCACCTCCATTGGTCTCAAATTTCTCATTTGAATTTGTTGGACCCAAAACAAACTCATAGGTTCACTTAGTTGACCAAGTCAACTATGGTTGATCAAATCAACCCTTAACCTACAACTATATTAAATCATTGTTTCAAGCCATTTCAAACCAGATTAACCCTTCAAAATCCTTCAATTGGACATTCCAAACATGTCCAAAATTTCTCTAAGTCAAATTCCTCTTGTTTGACTTGGTCAACCCAATTGGAGGGGTCAATCCCCACTCCATTTCCATATACTTGACCAAAATTCTAAGGCCATGGCTGTAAGTGCTTGGCTACTCACCCAAGCTGCCAAATGCACTTCCTTGAATGCCACATCAGCCCTTTTGACTGGTTTGACTAATTAAATGGTCACACTCATGCAGCAGCCTTCCCCCTAGCTTCTAACAACCTTGGGATACTTGGCATGCATCAAAGCTTGCCCCAATTCAATCTAGGCCATCTATTCAAAAAGCCATGGGTTAAGTGAGAAAATTTGACCTAAAAGCTCATTCCTTGAGATTCATTTTCAAACTTATTCTCCAGCAGCCCCTAGTTCTCAAACCTCCTTCCCCTAGCTCCTCCAGCCATTTCCTCACCTCTTTTGAGCATTTCTCCCTTATATCCAAGCCCCAAAACACCATTTTGGGGAAGAGAGGGTGATAGTGAGAGAAAGTGAAGTTTATACAACAACTTCCAATCCAGCCATCATCTGCTTTGAGAGTCCTCTGCAAAGTTGGAGAGGGCATCACTAGTAGCAAAAGGAACCCAAGATCATCAAAATTCATCAATTGGTTGGTGAGTTATTTTCACTTTTAATTAATATTTAAATTCATCAATTACTTGTATCGACATCACTCAACCCAAAATTGGAAAAGGGTGAGGCATACAATACAACAATCAATTTATAAATATTCTTTAGTCAATATTTAATATGACTAATTGAAACTACCAGTTTAGATGAAAGAGGCATCTTCCCCAACGGATTCGCCCAAAAATCTGTTGGATAACGGATTGCATATTTTATGATCGAGCATGACATAAAAAATGATAGTCCAAAGGTTAAAAATATTTTTTTTTCCGTATGAACTCAATGACAAAATTTACAATTTTAACAAAGATTACCCCATTTAATAGTTGATTGAATGGGGCTTATTTTATTTTGGGGTACGAATGTCCTATAGAGACAAACCTTTATGGTTAATTACATTTTAAGCTTTTGTCACGTGAGAATATTTTTGATTAAATTAGTAGTTTCCTTTTTTGAGAATAATCAAAATATTGACTATAGTTTTCATTTTAAAATCCATGAAATTCTTGTTTAAAAATTTTTGGTCTTTAGGAATTTTAAAAGAAGAGGTGGATCAACTGTGATTGGAGTTCTTGGAATGAGTTCCAAGAGGAGGAAGAGTAGGTGTACTTGATTCAAAGGAAAAACACAGAGGAACTCAAAACTATCTTATATTGAGTTTTATATTTTAGAATCCAATTTTTTGTTCTAGTTGACCATTTGAATTTAGAATGTTAGGCCTTACATTCCAATAACACATATTGGAGAAAATGTAAAGGTGAGGGCTTATGGGGTGATTGAAATCGACCACTACCAAGAACTCCACACCAATCTCATCGGGCGACTTTAATTAAATGAATTTGTAGCACTTTTGAGTAGTGACGACGCTCTGAACGGAACGACGAAGTCCGTTGTTTTACTATCGGACGTTGTTTAGGCAATGTTGTGCGTCAATGTCAGGTGTCGGTTGTTTGTTTTGATCGATCTCATCCTATTTGACTACTAGGGGTTCCCTCTTAGGCGAATTCAACGTCCTCATTGCAACAGCGTAGTCCGTTTCACAATTGGAAGTCGTTTGACCCATCAAATGATGTGCAGTGTTGATGCGCGCGTCACTTTTTTCACCAATTTTGCCCTGTTTCGTGTGCTTTTAGTTTGTGGGTCAACAAAAGTAGATTTGAATTCTCTTGGATTGAAATCATGTAAGATGTTGATTGTATTTAATGAAAGTTGAAATTTTGTAACTTTCTTCTATAAGAGTTACTCGGTGAGTTTCCTAGAAACATTAT